CCATTGACTTATCTCTATCTATCACTGTCTATCTGTAGTGGATACAGTCGCCTCCGTGGTCTCCAATGACTGATTAGGAAGGGCATCCAGTCAGGCAAGAGTAGCACTGCCAAGCAAGCTCTCAATAGAAAATTTGAGAGAAGCTTATGTCCAACAGTAGAATGAATGTTTGGCTGTGGAATAATAATGGTAATAATTGATATATGTGTTTATATGTGTATATATATGATGGAATACACATGTATACACACACACACACACACACACACACACACACACATATATATATATATATATATATATATATATATATATATATATATATATATATATAGAGAGAGAGAGAGAGAGAGAGAGAGAGAGAGAGAGAGAGAGAAAAGAAAGAAAAAAAAAGGAAGACAGACAGCCAGATAGACTGATAGAGAGACAAGCCGGGATGTAGCTAGGCATTAGGGGCCCATGAGGTAGGTTCCCATGGGGGTCCTGTGTAATATATAAATAAATAAATGACAGTATATCTATTAGCTCATTTGAACTGAAAGAAATACATATGCTAACATACACACACAAAAAAATCACGCTTAAATAAAATCAAACAAAAATAACGTACACTTCTTTGTTTAGCACTGAAGTAACATGTATTTTTTATAAATAATTATTCTGCGTTAACTAGAAAATCTTTCTGTCCAAGTACTATGCAGTTATTTGTCTTTTATTTCATTGTAAAATCACAAAACTTCTGAAAGTGATTATTTCAGCTTCAAGATTTTTCCCTATTTGGAATCCCCCCAAACGGGCCCCAAATAGGAAAAAACGCTAATCCGCCCTTTTTCGTACGCGTGTATATAAATGAAAAGATGAATAAATAAATAAATGAACAAAGAAGTGAACATGAATATGTGTATATATATAAATATATATGTATGATATATTCTTGTGTGTGTATGATGTATTTATATATACCATATATATTTAATCATATCAATTTAATCATATATATACATACATATGTATATATACATCATCTCTATCATATTCTTGGCTTTGTATTTTTTCTCGCTGTCCTGTTGCAGTTTCGCAGCTTCTTGATGCTTGCTACCTTACTTATGCGCGCCTGTTTGTTGCTGCTTGCTCGACTCCTGCAACTTGCAACCTTATTTATGTTTACCTGTTTTTTTGCTCCTTACAGCTTGCCATCTTGCTTATTCCTGTTCTAACATTGCTTGCTACTCTGGTAGTGCTTGCTACATGAATGGTGCTTGCATCTTAACAGCTAGCTTATGCTCGCCTGTTGGTTGCCACTTGCTAGCTTGCTGATACCTGCTATGCGGCTAATTAAAGCGTGCCTTCTTGCTGAGCCTGGCCGCCTCGGTTGGGTTGGCCGCTAGGGATAGGCTAACCGTAAAGGTGCTTGACTTCAACACCGATTTTCCTCACTCGTTTTCTCGCGGCTCCAAATTGCTACAAATTCAAGTGCTACTTGAAGCTGCTGTGACATTTTTTTTTTAATATTATTATCATTTCCTTACTTTCATGATGTTCTTATGATTACGTTTTTTTTCATAATTTTATTTCCGTTTCAGAAAACTGGCCATTTCAGCTTGTGATTTGTTAAAGATAATATTTAGCATAGAAATATAGGGAGTGGAAGGTCGGAAAGCAGTTGTGTTATTGTTCTAGTAGCCGATCATTTCATCGCTTTTAGTAGTGCTTCATCTTTTTTCTTTCTTTCTTTCTTTTTGCTTTATCCCTTACAAGTCTTCTTTATTGATTTACACTTCAGTGAGAGGATGAAGACGAAGTAGAGGAGGGTGTCAGGCAAGTACGAAAGCCACTAGCTCCTTGACAAATCGGGTGAAATGACCTTCCCGCCGGCGCTACCTGCATTTTGATATTAAAGTATTTGTCATAATGTAAAATTGTTGCTCTTCGTTACTTTTCTTAGCAGCGTGGTTCTTTTTTTTCATTTTAAATTCATAACGGGGATTATATAGACGCGTTATTTGTGTCTTTTTTTTTTTGCCTTTCATAACATGTTTGCAGATTATTCAGCTACAGGAATAAAAAAAAAATGTATTTTATATTGTACATAGGTTTGCTTTGATGTTTTACCCTTGGGCTTTGTATTATTTCATCATTATGGAGCAAAAATTTTTTTTTCTTGATAAAGATTCTCAGCTTGAGGAGGTGCGTACTCTACAAGGTGCGCATATTAAAAAAAAAAAAAAAAAAAAAAAATAGCTGTGAAGTTTACATAGGCCTGTATAGTACCAAACGCAGGTATCTTAGAGGGAAATCGCCACCGTATATAGAACGCAGTTTCAAAAGGTTTTAAAAAATTATCCCCGATTCATTACAGTACGAAGGTGGAACAGCTTACTACTCCGAATATATACCTTCCTATGGTGAGACCGTGGGGGTGCCTTAGACAGTGTTACTACATAAGAGTGACTAGCATAACGTCAGATTTTGTTTAAACTAATTAATACTAGTACAAAAATCTTTGAAATTTGCTTAGGAAAATGAAGAATGTGGATATAAATCCGTTTTGGATACATCGCTCACTTCTTTAGTTAATAAGATTCATGACAAATGATAAAATAGGAAATTTAATATTTTATCATTAACCCTTGCACATGTAAATAGCGTACTAAACGGTGCGGATACAAGTGTTAAAGGTGTTCCTAAAAGCTAAACGGAGAGTGACAGAGATGATGTAAGAGTGACCCTAGCTTAAAAGATAGTGTCGCATAACACCATCTTCACCTATATCAATTTTAAGTACCGAAACTGTTCTTCAACCCTATCAACATCAATTGCATCCTTCTTCCAATATACATCCTTATCGCACTTCACTAACCACCGCCACGTGCAATCTAACCTCAACTGCACCGGTCACCAGCTGCTTCTCAAGGCCGTCGATATCATTCACACATTTGCAAAAATGCACAGCGGATCAAAGTCGTAATATTTATTTCGACTTTGATTGGGATCTTATACATTCATGCATGCACGTGCACTCACACACACGTTACACGTATACATACATGCACACACCATATGCGCGCGCACACACACACACACACACACACACACACACACACACACACACACACACACAACACACACACACACACACACACACACACACACACACACACACATGTAGGCAGGCAGTCAGGCATGTACGCACACACACTCTCTCTCTCTCTCACACGCACACAGACAAGCAGGGATGAACACACACACACAAACACACCCATGCAGGGGGGCAGGTATGCACACACACACACATACAACACACGCAGGCAGGCGGGCAGGCAAACACAAACATACACACACACAAACACAAACACACACACGCGCTTACGCACGCACGCAACATAACACACGCACGCAAACATACACACGCACACACAACACACGCAGGCAGGAATATAAGCAAACAAACAAATATACATATACAAACACACATATAGGCAAACAGGCAAACAGGCAGACACACACACACACACACACACACACACACACACACACACACACACACACACACACACACACACACACACACACACACACACACACACACAACACGCATACACAAACATATAGACAGGCAGGCATACATACATACATACATACATACATACATAACATACATACATACATACATACATACATACATACATACATACATACATACACAACACACACACACACACACACACACACACACACACACACACACACACACACACACACACACACACCTCACCCATACCATGCAGGCAGGCACACAGCAGGCACACACACACACACACACACACACACACACACACACACACACACACACACACACACACACACACACACACACACACACACACACACACACACTCACCCATACCCATGCAGGCAGGCACACACACACACACACACACACACACACACACACACACACACACACACACACACACACACACACACACACACACACACACACACACACACACACACACACACACAAATCCCACATTACTTAGCTCTTGCACAAACATTTGATTGCTAGTGTGGAACTGATCACATCATAAAAATTATTAGGGACCAAATTATTGATACTTATGGCAGTATTTTTCAATAATTATGGTACGATTTAATCCAGATGTGTATAGAGCATACTATAAATCATTTTCTTAATGCATAAGAATCGGGTAGATAGGATTGTAAGGAGATAGTGCCTTGTATTATTATCTCACTGAGAATAAAACAGGACACATAAGTTCTCAAACAAATGGACACATTCTCCTCCTTTCTTCACTCTCCTCAACTCTTTCTCTCACTTTCTTCTCTCTCTCTTTCTCACTTCATGTTCAAACAAGGGAAGCATTATAAAGAAAATGTTATAACAAAAAAGAAAAAAAGACATTAGGATATAAATTACCAATAACTTTCTTTCTCTATACCTTTCTAGAATGTGAAAACGGAGTGAGGAGAAATGAAACAGGTGAAAAAGGAGGACAAAAGCCAGCACAAAAGATGAAAAAAATGATTCCAATATAACGGCAAATATCCACTCCAAAATCCATCACCCTCTATTTCAAGAAGACAGATACATATAAAAAATAGTAAATATATATATTTCCTTTCCTCTGGGGTTGGGATCACAATGAAATGAAACAACAATGTGAATAGAGATCAAATTTTACTTTTAATAGCCAAGAATATAAAACACACACAAAAAAAAATTTAACAAAATAAATCCACGTTTTTGTAGATAATGAAAAATCTACAATGCATTTATTTTTTTCTATAGGAAAGACAATGATTTGGCAGTTCTTTGTGAATTAGATATTATTGCAAAATTGCTCTCACACCTTTGACAGACATAGTGTATAACAGATCTATACATTCTATATTCCTTCCCAGATAAAATTTGCTTTCATTTGAAAAAAAGTGATCTAGCAAATAAAAGGGAAAAAATCGTAAAAAAAGAACCAGTATGAAAATAGACGTATATTTGTATAAAAATGCTCAAAAGAGAAATTATGAATAAAAATGCACAAAAGAGAAATTACGATATAATTTAGAAAAATATAAAAAAGAATCTTGGCCACAATTGTTCACTTATTTCTCTGCAATATCTTCACTCAGCCAGGCGTCAACTGAAGCCAGTCCATTTAGCATTGTACGAATGGAACGCAATCCTTCTACATTTCTTATCTGCAAGAAAATGAAACCTTTTATTAAAATATATGGTTATAATTAGAAAAAAAATTGACAAATCAATATTTTAGCCTTGGAATTATCACCCACATATCAAATACAAGCCAACTCACATATTTTTCTGATGAACAGAGATCTTTTCTGCTTGCGAAATCTAAAATATCCCTTGCTTGCTCAGTCACCATCTGATAACCCCTTTTCTCAAGAGACATTTCCTCATCAATCTCTTCAAGAAGGATCTTCATCGTCCAGGTACACCAGTGGCGATGCTCTTCTAAGGGATGGAAGTACTGCTTTTCCCCAATCTGCAATGCATTTAAGAAAAATAACTTTCCAGTTCTTGCACATACAGTTAAAGGACCATTATCTTTCTTTTTCATATTATCCAGGTAGATATCTTCCTTGACGACTTTGAGGTTGCTCTAGGAAATCTATAAAATGAATGAAGCAATCAATAAAACAAAACAAAAAATATATATATAAATATGAAAAAAAATACCTTTCTAATTTGTGTAGAGGGAGAAGAACCAATTATCAGTGGACTTGGAAGAGCTGTATTTTTTTGGCTGGTGCAGCTATCTTGTACCCTACTTGTCTCCTTGCTACCCTGTTCCTTATCTCCAGTTGGATTAATTTCTTTAGGATTCTCTTCTTCCTTCTCCTGGCTTGCAGTCTCACCACTACTCTGCTTGTCTTTTTCAGTCTGACTAGTTTTTGTGTCCAGATCTTTAGAGGAATCTTTTCTGCAGTCTTCTGATGCATCAGAATTGTTTGTTGTCTGCCCTTTTCCTTCTGGTTTAGAATCAGGATTTACAGATTTTTCATCATCTTTCTTATTTTCAGCTTCTATTTCCCCACTCCTTTCGATCTCATTTTCTTTCTTTTTTACTGACTCGTCTTCCATGTCATCTTTCTCGGTCTTATTTCCAGCTAAGGCTTCACTTTTGCCATTTTCTGAATCATTTATTTTTTCTTTCTGTTCCTTCTCCTGATCTTCATTTTCCTTTGAACTGTTTCTTGCTCCTGCCTCCTCTTGAGGTTGGTCTTTTTCCTTTTCATCTCCTTCTTCCATTTTCTTCCTCTCTTCTGATTCTATCTCTTTACTTGAGTTGTCCTTTTTGTTATTTTCAGTCGGTGGACTTTCTTCTTCCATCTTTTCTTGCACTTCACCTTCATTTGTTTTATCCCCTTCTGCTTCCTTAGCTATGGTCTTTTCTTTTTGCCCATTATCCTTCTCCTTCTCACCATCTTCTCCCATCTCTTTTTCCTGCTCCTTTTGCACATTTTCTTCCCCTTTTCTTTCACCTTCTTCACCTGTTGTTTTGTTTTCTTCAATGATTTTCTCCCGACTGTCACTGCCTTTGTTATCGGTCTTCAGGAGTTTGCATTTCCGCGGTGGACATATCCTACTACCTGCAGGACTGGATCCCTCAACCTTATCCTGATCCATCTCTTCATCTTCTGCAGTCTCCTCAACCTGCTCTTCATGTCTTTTTCTCTTCCCTGATGGTGTAGGAGCTGGAGAGATGGCACGAGTGCTTTCTAATTCATCAGCTCTGGTTATGAAACTCCAGAGTCCCACTGATCTTCTGCAGACTTTGCACCTGTTAATATATTGCAAGAAACTCTTAATTGTACCTTGCCTAAAAGCAAGCTGAGTGATGATAACTATGAAATTACTTTTTTGAACACAAAATTAAAGATTTGTTACTAACATGTAGGGTCACTTACATTTTATGAAATGTATTAATTACTACCACAATAACGGGCAGAAATAGATAAAGTAATCAATTCTAGACCTAGAGATATTTCTACATTTTGAAATTATGTTTTGAGTCAGCAGAACTATATCACTGCTGCTCAGTTCTGCTCAAAGAATGCCTTTCCACAAACCTTAAATATGCTCCTTCACCACGAATCCATCCACTCAATACCAATAGCACAGAGGAAGCCTGGACTTCATAATCAGTGCTATCATTTTGGAACAATCCCACAATAAGGTCTTTATCTGCTCCCTGAAATGTTGATTACAATAAGCACTATACTTACTTTTTTTAATATAAATATAGTGTATAAGTATTCAATATAAAGATTACTTTTAGGCTAAACATAGATTTATCTGTATGAAGTTTTGTAAATATCCAATACTTTGATTACTAAAAACTAGTGTCTTACATCATGAGAAGATGCAGATAAAATTTCAGTACAAGCTAACATTTCATCACTTTAGGTACTTACAAGACTTTTTGATAAAGCTTCAACATCAAGGTATGGTAGAGCTGAATTTAGGGCAGCAAGTGTCCGAGCAGAATTTGTGAGATTGCGCATGTCTTCAATAGAGCCAATATAAGGTGGCTGGACAAACTCCTCAGGACTTGGATTATGTTTCCAACCACAGGCATCTTTGTGGGCTTCCAATATCCTGCTCTTCAACAGACTAAGGTACTTTTCATCTGTAAAGCAATTTCATACTTTGAGATTGTACTGTTTACTGCTTCATCATTTTTTATCTTTCCTTATGTATAATGTACCTACTTAATGGTTATAGAAAATTATCAGAACTTGATACTGTAATTTTTCATTGATTTTGGGTAATTATTGGATATCACCTAGTTATAAACACACTACCTCTTGTATTTCATAGTTTCCTATTATACATTATAAACAGCAGTCAGCCCTAAGCCTACCCCTGGACAAGCATTACCTTGTGCAAAAAAATATAATAAAAGCAATAAATCCACTCTCTAACTCACTAGAATACCAGTCACAAACAAACAAAAGTGGAAACTGTAAAACAAACAAATCTTCCACACTCACAAGCTTTGAAATCCCGTACATCAGGTAGAATTGCACAAACAACCTCACGGCAGGTGACGCACTGGAGAATATCCTTCTCCTGGATACGCCAGCCCCATCTTGCACACTCCAGAGGGGTCAGCTCTTGCACAGTCCATAATCCTGGTCTGAAGGAACTGACTCGATTATAAAATTCCTCGGGGTTCTGTGGTTGTGTTTTGACTGCTTGGGCATTCTGCTTGTTCAATTTTTCAATGTCAATTAGTCTGAAATATAAGATTAAATAAATTATCATTATACAATTGGTATGGAAGTGCACTGTGTATGTAAATGAACAAGTACAGTTTTAATGTATGAACATTCTACTAGTAATATGCAGATTTGTTTGAAGTTCATCCTATATCAACAGAAAAATATATGAGAAATTGGAGAGTAAAAGCAAGAAAATAGCATATAACACAGTAGTTATAAATCCAGAAACTCTGGGCTACCTAATAGTGCAAAACAAGTATAAAGTGGTATCTAAACGATAGGACAAACCCTGGGTCGCTTACTAATAATAAAGTATATGATTTGAATGCCTGACTCTAAACCATTATCAGGTTGGACTTAAGACTGTTGACTATCTGTTATAAATCTCTGTATTTTCAAGTAGATCTGGATCAGAAATGACCATTATAATTATGAAGGAAGAGAAATTTGACCCCAAATTAAGTGCAGCAAGAGATGTTACTGCATCAGATAACAGACAATTATCAAAAGAACATGGAAAATATTGTAACATTCATAAATAATACATGATAAGGGGAGGGGAAGAAGTTTCAACACTATTTTTTCAGAATTGGTCAGCTATACAGCGAAAGGTAAAAGATCAGTGAATCAAAAGATTAGTGAATTTTAAATCAGTTTTCTTCCACGATACTTTCGCTGAATAAAAAACTTAAATAATAGTTTATATAAATAGCAATTACAGGGCTTATCAAATTTCAACATGCCAACCATGAATCACTATCTATTGCACATTTTGTTCTATGTACATGCTTTTAGATTTTGAAATCTACAAGCAGTGACTCTTTCTTGCAGTAATTTTGTCCTTATGAATCATATAGCTCTGGGCAATTTTATTATCAAATGGTATTGGATATTTGTTAGTCCTTGGCTAGAGTGCTGACAGATGGCTTGATACTGCCACTAGTATGGTATCTAGTATAAAAAAAAAACTTTTAAAACTTCAATTTGTAACATAGATGTCATAAATGAGTGTGGGAAAGCCTCTTTAAAAAAAATCTGAACCAACCTAGACAATTCAAAAAATAGATCTGCACCTTGAAAGGCAGCAAATTTGTTATCACTGAACTCCTATTAATGTTTACTGATCAAGAAATATTTGTCTCACAGAACCACTGCATCAGAGGTCATGATAACTGAATGGTAAATGGGTGTTTCACGTAAATAATGGACCACATCTGCTTGAGGGACCAAATATAGAAGCAAGGGAACTGTATAACATCTTCACCCTCTGTGATTCTGGCTAAAATACAATTTTAAGCCTACTTTTGACAATCTGTAACTCCTGCACTCATTGAAAAGTAAAACAAGTGAACATTTGTTAAGCACACACAACTCGGAACAGGGTTGATGTGTGTGGTATAGAAGTACATGCCAAATGGAAATGAGTCCCTTCAAGCCATGACTATGAGTCCAATGGGTGAGTCATGAGATTTTATGCTGTCAATCAATTATGAATTGACAGTGTCATGATATGCACCTGCTGTTGAGTAAACAAGATGTGGCTGTAGGGTCTGGAAAATGTGTGACATGTGCAGGTAAGGGGACATGACTGTTACAATATCCACGTGGCAAGTAACTCAGACCTTCCCAGGATCTATTTTGCTAAGTGAAGTGTTAGGGATGAGAGCCACATGAAAATGACTACGAGCACAAATACTGCATATTTGACCGGGCTATTTCCCTGGGAAACCAATGCCCTCCTTACCTTATCATTGCTACCGTTGCTTAGCACCACCTAAACAACTCCTAACGAACATCAGACCTTGTAAAGAATTTATACCAAATTCTATGGATTATATGTTATAGATCTCTTACAGAAAATTAACAAAGCTTCACTTTATATTAAGATCTTTTTAGTAGCAATCCTGGAAACATCTTTTTCTCTTATCTAAAGCGGAAACAAAGGGATACACTCTAGCCAGCACAGTACAGTGCAAACATTCAAAATAAATTTCATGAAAACTGCAGTTAGTGATTAATGTTTTCATTAATTACAAGTAGTTTGGTAGTTTCTTAACATGAAATTGAAATATAAATATATGTAAAATGTTATTCTTTGACGTGACAATGAGTAGAGCAGAAAAGCCCCCAATTGGTATTCTGCTCATGTATGGGGAAACAAACAAGGTGGAGGTGTTCTTGACACGAAATGATACTACTCAATTAGGTTGGGTTACGTTTCTACTTATTACCTGGAAATAACACTGATATGCCCATAAGCATCTGTGATGTATGCCTAACTGTGAGAAATCCGATACAGCACTGACTTTTTTTTTCTAATACAGCATATACACACTCACAATATATGCGCAAAATTTAAAGTAAAAAATAAACAACTCTAAACTGACACAATACGACTTTTTAATGAGTCTGAGTCATTTGATGTGGTGTTGTCTATAGAGGAATGATTATCTTCAAAATTATTCCTTATGCTATAATTCAACCTTATAAACTGATACTGTATTCAGAACTCCTCATCCTGCTCGTCCAGACAAGTTGAACAAGATGTTTTGACTGTTCTGAACCTTTAGTTTCTCGTCCTGGATAAGTTGTCCATCTCGTCTTCCTGTGAAGCTGGGCAAGCAGGATGAGATGATGTCACAATAGCATTTGTATGTAAACAATGACAGTTGCAAGCAACCACAAGATACTGATGGGTAATTTCATGGCCCTTTATTAATGTTATCATCAATAATGTAGAAAAACAAAGAATCCTCCAAATATTCACGACAGGAGAGAGAGTCGAACACGACTTGGCAACACCCACTCCCGCATGGCAGCCGTATGCTTGTGCCTGCCATGAATACATGAAGGATTCTTTGTTTCTTAGGTGGGGGCAGAGGGGTAGAAATCCCCCCATGGGGGGATTGCAGGGGGCTGTGCCCCCTGCACTAGACAATATAGTGACTCATCCTGATTAGATGACTTACATTTTACAATTTCCCTGGTACCTTTCATGCCTTCCCCTGCTATCGCAGCTAAGAATGTGGAGTTGGGGGGGGGGGCTTCCGCACAATAAAATCTATATATTTGCATTGTAGACGGTGAGAGGAATCCAATGATACCGAAAATGTTGCAATCTGTTTGGCAGACATTTTCCAGAAAACTACCCAGACAAGTTGTCTGGATGCCAAGTGGAGTTGGGGGAGGGGGGCTTCTGCAGCATTGTAGACGGTGAGAGGAATCCAATAATACCGAAAATGTTGCAATCTGTTTGGCAGACATTTTCCAGAAAACTACCCAGACAAGTTGTCTGGATGCCAAGACTAGGTGTTCCGACACACCATGAAATGTATGCATATACAGGCTTGATTTGTTGAGAATTACCTGTAATGACTAAAAATTCCTATGATCACTGTAATCATTCTCGGTGTCTCACATGCCATCAAGTTGTTTGATGGTTTTCTTCTGACTTTTTTTTTCAAAACTTTGTCTGTCAGAACATAATCACTTATATAACGCTCGAGTGTTGGGTTCATAATCGTCATAAACACATGACTATGAACACCTTTGCCTTGTCAAAATGTTACACATAAATTAACATATGCATATCATTTCTCCCCCTACAGTATATTCGAAGACCATGTTGCATAAACCAGGTTCACTTAATTCCTTGTATTTAGAATCACATCAAGTTGATCTTGTTTACAGCAAGATTAGATGATCAAGATTATAAACCGAGCACGCCAAATAAGTGTCTGTCATGGTAGAGAAATTGGAGGATATAAACCGGTTTCACGTAATTTCTCATCGGAACACATAAAAGACCGTACCCTGGCGATCTAGTCACCGTATCTGTCAAGGAAGAGAAGATAGTAGAGATTTTGTTGACTTTGGCCAGCACGGCGTCTCCTTCCTCCTCCATTGTTTACATCCTGACTTATGAGGGTCACGTGACCTGGTAGCGTATTTCGATCTCAACTTTTTATTCTTTAGAAAAATTAATTACCATAATCTATAATCTTACTATATTTTCCAAAATAGCGCGGAAAAAGAGGCGGGCTCATCTGCACTGGGAAAAATATTCTGTTAATTCAGGAGAAACGCTTTTGGAGAAGGGGCTCCTGGATGTTGGTTCGCGAGTCCAGGCAGAGTGTTATTGGAACGTGTCTGTTGTGTGGTGGCGGCGGAGGCACTGGAGGGCTGGTCTGGTATCTGCTGTCCTCACAGCAAGGTATGGACCAGAAAAAGAGTCCAAGCAGGTAAGTACCCCGAAGGGCGTGGTTCTGAAGTCAGGAGTGCACGCTTGAGCTGAGCGAAGAGCAACTTGGACGTCCGGAAAGGGAGGATATCAGAGGATAACTGATTGCATTTGTGACGTGTTGTGACAAAGGGGATTGACCCAAGATTGGCACTTGCAACCCTCTTTTGCCAAGATAATTGACACTCTTGGCCCATCCCTGCACGTGAGCTTGCACCGGGCACCACCTGCGAGTGGTAACCATCTGGCGAGGCGTCACCATCTGCCTCTCCTCCCCTGTCATGGCTGGGAAGCGTTTCGCCAACTTGAATTTCAATTAAGTTGATTGAGTCTGAAGTGAAGCTCTATTACCTCGATCGTGGCGTATATTTCAGATCTATTTCGAGCCACCGTCGCTAGTCTTTAGGGTGACAAGGTGACCCTTCTGTGGTGGGTGGCAGGGAGGGGATTCAGAAGGGAGGACTTTGGGTTTTGGTGTGGTGAGGGTAGGACTTGGGCTGGGTTAGATGACTCTCTTTGGGGTCTTGGAGGCTTGGCTGTTCTTGACACAATAGCTGCTGGGTGGCTTTGGTTGGGGTTTGGAACGGGTATTTCTTATCTGATTAATTATGAGGAATTCCTTTGTTTGAGGACTTCAGAAAAATCCTGAGGTAGATTTTTTCTAGGTGGTTTTGTGCTGATTGGTGTGCATTCCATGTGTGAAAGTGGTGCCATTTGCAAGCATATTATCCTTTCAAGCATGAACCATTTCTGGTTATAGTAAACAAATTGTAAAAACTGGCACAAGGTGATATGGTGAATGGTTAAAAGACACCCACAGTGACTGTCAGAGTGGGACTTTTTCATGTAATATTATTCCTAGTGTATCCAGATTTACTTGATAAATGATGGAAAGCTTATAATCATGGTTTCATTGTGATAGTGACACACTGTCAAGTGACCACCACTCTGCTCCAACAAAGACGAACAAACCTCAACCTCATATATTCTGGTAAGATAGAGCTTAGACTGGTTCCTTATTCTTCAATGAATACAAATAAAGTGCAGCTTTGTCAGATTGAATACAGTAGTTTTTGGAGGCTGTTGTGCTAGTGCATAGGCCAGTGGGAAGTGCATTGGTGTCTTCTAAATATTTTACCATTTTATTTTGCAATAACAGTGAAAGGGCACAAGGGTGTAATTGACATTTTTCGAAACGTAATACAGTAGAGCAATTTTTAGTGAATTTTAGATAATTACTAGTGTCTGTGGGAAAAAAATTATATTTGATTTTTTTATGGTGGAAGGGAAAACTATTTTACTTCTTATAGCATATTTAGTTTTTTTAACTATGAGATGTGGTTTGCTTAAAATGCCAAACTTTTCTGTTTAAATACATTTGATAAAGTTAGGAGGTATTAGCTTGACCTACTCATTCTGCGTGTATGCAGGTTTAGACATTTTTGCAATGGTTAGATACAGGTTTTCATGATGTATGCTGGAAAAGGCTGAAAAATACTGCATACATGGCTGATTGATATAAACAGCAATTTTGTCAATTTTTTAAAACCAAGTGAGAAAAAATACCTTTTTAACCATTTAATAGGGATTAGAAAAAAATTGTTATCAGCTCCAGGAAGGATTAATTTTTATCTCTACAAAGGCACAATATAAGATTTGATAATCTTGTTAAACCACTGCTGCCAGGGATGGCATGTGCATAAATGCCATGTCTACTGTGATTTTAGTTTATTGATAGAAGGCTCCACAAGTGCTTAGTCACCAAGGAATCATTTATTAGTCCTACCTATCTTACCTGTTTACCGTTTTCCTTGATTTTCAGAAGTATTATTTTCTACTTCTATTGCTATTTGTACTGGTAATAACAATATGATAATCATGTCAGTAGTAATGAAAAGTTTCATTATAAATGGCATTAAGAAAATTATTTTTCCTGGGGGTTCAAGAGATAGAGAAATATGGAAAAGTTATGTAGGCTAACAAATTAAATCCTTGGTGGCAAAGCACCTGTAGAGCCATCATGTATATACATGTTTATTAAACAAAACTACAGTGGACATGACCTGTTCCCAGGAGCAGTGGCTTAAAGGCCAGGTTGATATAATGACATAATGTTGCTTTAATCTCTGTAAGCACTTTGTTTGTCACTCATATATGTGAATAGAACAAAGCTCTATACTGGAGATATATATATAGTAGATTGTTTTCATTATATGATGGATAATGTTAGTCTCTTGTAAAGCAAAAATTTCAGTAGAGTATCAGAGGCTTAAAACCTACCAGGTGATTTGGTACTGAGATTTTCCATGTAACTGAAGGGATTACAGTTGTCATTTTGAGATTGAGGAGATTAAGGTCACTATCATGATAAGGATAACTTGTTTAAATTGCTTCCTGAGCTACTACATTCTCCATGGAAATTGTTGTAGATAGAAAAAGATGATGTAGCCTTGAAGGTAAAGTTTGTAGATTGTTAGGAGATCATGAATATTTGTTTGAATATTTGCCGTATACATTTATCATTTATTTGTCTATTTACTTTGTATCTAGGTGGGATTCTGATGAGCATTTTTTTTTTCTTTCTTTTTTTTATTCATTGGTTAGACATTTGTGGCTGATGTTCTGTACACTCAGTATTTTAAATTAGCAATATAGTATAGGTTGATGTACATATTAAAGGTTAGATTGAGTTTGGCACATGCTAAGAAATATAGAATACACCATTGTATTGGCGCTGTATTTTCATGCAGTTTGCAAAGAAAATTGTACAATTATTATTATTGATATCTTATCATTAGCACTATCACGATCATTATTATACCTATTATTCCTATTATTAGTATTGCTATTATTATTTTTTATTATTATTATTATTATTATTATTATTATTATTATTTATTATTATTATTATTATTATTATTATTATTATTATTATTATTATTATTATTATTATTATTATTATTATTATTATTATTATTATTATTATTATTATTATGTTTATTATGTTTATTATGTTTATTATGTTTTTATATAATTAATAATAATAATAATAATATAATAATAATAATAATAATAATATATAATAATGATAATGATAATGATAATGATAATGATAATGATGATATGATAATGATAATGATGATAATGATAATGATAATGATAATGATAATAATAATAATAATAATAATAATAATAATAATAATAATAATAATAATAATAATAATAATAATAATAATAATATTATTATTATTATTATTATTATTATTATTATTATTATTATTATTATTATTATTATTATTATTATTATTATTATTATTATTATTATTATTATTATTATTATTATTATTATTATTATTATTATTATTATTATTATTACTATTATTTTTTTATTATTATTATTATTATTATTATTATTATTATTATTATTGTTGTTATTAAATTATTATTATTATTATTATTATTATTATTATTATTATTATTATTTTATTATTATTATTATTATTATTATTATTATTATTATTATTATTATTTATTATTATTATTATTATTATTATTATTATTATTATTATTATTATTATTATTATTATTATTATTATTATTATTATTATTATTATTATTATATTATTGTTATTATTGTTATTATTGTTATTATTGTTATTATTGTTATTATTGTTATTATTTATTATTGTTATTATTGTTATTATTATTATTATTATTATTATTATTATTATTATTATTATTATTATTATTATTATTATTATTATTATTGTTATTGTTATTGTTATTGTTATTGTTATTATTATTATTATTATTATTATTATTATTATTATTATTATTATTGTTGTTATTGTTATTGTTATTATTGATATTGTTATTGTTATTGTTATTGTTATTGTTATTGCTATTAGTATTAGTATAAGTATTACTATTATTTTCTTTAGTATTATAGACATTATGATAACATTGAAATAATAACAATAATAATAATGATAATTATAATGATAGTAATAATTGTCATTGATATTGTTATTTTTCCATTGTTGTTTTTTTTGTTATTCTCATTATTGTTAACCTTATATCATTATATCAGTATCATTATATCACTTATTATTATTGTTATCATTATTATTAATATTTGCATCATTATTAAGTGTTGTTGTTATTATTTTTGTTATTGTTATTGTTATTATTATTTTGTTGTAGTTTTTAATATTGTTATTATTATAGTTATTAATATCATTATTAGTATTATCAGTATTATTATTGTTGTTACTATTGTTACTATTACTATTATTGTTGTTATTTTTATTTTTATTAATTTCATTATTATTATTATTATTTTGTTGTTTTGTTGTTGTTGTTGTTTGTTGTTGTTATTATATTATTATTATTATTATTATTATATTATTATTATTATTATTATTATTATTATTATTATTATTATTATTATTATTATTATTATTATTATTATTATTATTATTGTTATTGTTATTGTTATTGTTATTGTTATTGTTATTGTTGTTTTGTTGTTATTCTTGTTATTTGTTATTGTTATTGTTATTGTTATTATTATTATTATTATTATTATTATTATTATTATTATTATTATTATTATTATTATTATTATTATTATTATTATTATTATTATTTGTATTTGTATTTGTATTTGTATTTGTATTTGTATTGTTTTCATTATTATTATTATT